GGATGGAAAACGGCAAGCTCGTGCCCTTGTGTCCTGCCCCAGCCTTCCCCCAGTATCATGCTTTAGCGATGGTAGCTGAACTCCAGCAAGCGCCACCAACTTCAGCAGAGGTTACTTATACTGGCTTAGCACAGATCAGGACTTCAACATCTCACCGGGGAAAAACGTTTATACCCTTTCCCCCAGCAGAAGGCAGAAGGAACTCCACCACCACCACCAGCAGTTTGAAAGGACCACAGGACCTAGTCACCAAGGTATTTAGATAAGCTGGAGGCAAGTCTGTCACAAGCACGCACCCTCTTCAAATGTCACATCAAACGGCAAGGAAAAGGGCAGGAAAAGGCTACCTTTTGATGGGAGGTTTCACTCATGTCTAGAAGCTGGATAATCCGCGGCCGCCTCATCTCCCGAGTGCTGGCCAGCCTCTGCTCGGTGGTAAGAGACATCTCCTTCAGGAAGGCAGAGGGAGTCAGCTGAAATGCAAAACACCAGCAAGAGCTACAGAAATGCCTTTGTTCAGAAAGGCTTTCCTTGTTCAAGTGTCACTGATGAATAATTTGTGATCACAGCCACTAGGATAGTCCTGGAAGCCCTGCAAGTTACCTGCTGAAATATTTAACATCAGTAAATTAATGATATAGAGCGGAATACACATGCTCTAACCAAGTGGCTCTGTCCCATTAGCTTCTCCTTCATGATTTGATGTGACATGTTTGAAGATTTCTGTTCCCCAGGCATTTGTTTCCTCTTTAGTTTTGCTGGATTGAGCCAGTGACCTTCGAAGAGAGTAGGGAGGAGTTATCAGAAATCCCCTAACTCCATCCTTGCATCATCAGGAGATGTCACTGCTGGGTGAATCAGAGGAAAGCAGAAAAGCAGCATTGTGCCAAGAATGAGATGGAGAGGAATGGGTCCAAGTTTTAGTTCTCTCTTTTTAATTAGCACTTGTTTTCTCTCTGTTCTGGCCTCACACACCTCTCCACAGAAGTATACAGAGGTATCTCCTTGACAGAGCCTCAGCACTAGGTCATCTCCAGTCAAGTAAGCTCCAGTCAGCAAAGGTGACGTTTGTGGATGGGAAGGAGAAATTGCCCTGACTCCACTGCTGTTTGCAGGGCTGGATCTGTGGGGTATGAGATATTGTATGAGATACAACTGTTTTGGAACCTGTTCTATCTGGGACCAGCCACGTCTCTCAAGTCTTCAGGCAGAGTCTGAGCAGCCCACCACGTGCCTGCCTGCCTGGAGGACAGGTATGGTAAGAGCAGCACTAGCAAGTATGCCGACATGATGGAAGATAGTACTGCCCACGCAAAGAGGATGGAAAGAAGCACACGCTCATGCTTCAGCGGTTCCAGTGCAATGCCCAGTACATTCGTTTAACTTGGCTCCAGTGGCACATCCAGGCAAGACTCTGGACTTTCCCTGAAGAAGCACACAGTCCATCTCCCACTGCACCACGACAGCCACCTCCAACAGAAGCGTGGCAGCAAAGAGGTGGGGAGGTGGTGTCTGGCTTCACAGTGCTGCTAGACAACAGGAGGGGAAGGCAGCGGAGGGACACAGGGGGACTTTCCAGCCTTAACGCAGGTCCTACCTGGCCACAGCAGGTACTTACAGTTACGGACTCCTCTGCCTCTCTGACTAGCTTCGGATTCCGAGGTGCTACCACTTTGCTCTGGAATCCATCGGCCATTTTGGAGGACCCCATGGACCGATGGATCTTGCCGGTGGCCACGTCTCAGCTCACCTGGAAGGAGCAACAATGGGACTTTGAAAATCCAGAATCCCATTCTGGGATCCCCCATTCTGTTCTGGGGAGAACATAAGGCCTCCCCACCCTGTTTCGTGATTAGACCCTATTTAAGTGGCAGAGCTAAGATTGATAGAAGTAAAACCCCAGAACAAACATTCCCTAAGCCAAAACAGCCTTTTGCTGCGGGTGCAGTCCCATGAGCCACAAACACACGCCAGGGCCTGCTGGCATTTCTCACCTTCCCCCCGCTTCCATTACTTTTGGAACCCCATTTACTGGGATTATTAACCAAATCTCTATTAATATCCAAAATGTCCTTTATTACTCTTTAAAAGTTTTTTGGTGGGAACAGAAGGAAGGTAAATGTCACTTAGCTGCTTCATTTTGCCAGAGCAACTGACCTGATGTGACAGTGTGCGCCTGACCCTCCTAAGTGCTCCGAGTATTATGAACAATCTTAAACCCAGGGATCACTGCTGCCCCAAGCGTTAACAAAATCAGACCACTTTCCTACTTTGCAAACCAAATGTCCACCCTTTGTGCAAAGAGCCTGGTGATGTTTCTAACTAACGGAGCATAGAGTTCAATACTCTGATTAAGAACTATAGTTTCTCAAGGATAATTTGGTTGGTTTAAGTTACAAAAATTATCCGGCAAATATGACTCCTTCCAGGCATGAAATTACTACAGTGCCTAAGAGCATTTCTCCATGGAGAACGAGGGCCCTAATTTTCACTTATTAACACCCAAACTCAAGGCTCCCTACAGGCATTAGAGGCTGTAACAACAGAAATAAAAGCATGAAACCATTAAAGGAACATGAGCAATCAGCTCAAATATAAATGCAACATATGTGAAACTAGGGCCACTTAAGACTTTATCCTAATGGCCGTTCTTCTCCAGCATCCTTATCCTACAAGTAGCATTGGTTAACAGGTCCATGGGCCGTTCTTCCCCCAGTCACCAGCCTGCCGACCACCTCTCTTCATCTGTGTCACACAAAGTGCGAGTGCAAGAAATGGCAAGAAGAGAAGACAACCCCAGAAAGTGGGTCTCAAGCACTGATAAAAATCAAAGATAAACATGTACAGTATTTGCTAAGCACTACTTTGGGCTAGAAATAATTTCCCCTCCCTTTCTGGCTATCTGGACCAAGGAACAGATGGATTTGCCCATTTCTTATTTTCTGGGACTTGAAAGACCAGTGGTCTCAAACCCAGCTCTACCCTAAATTTTTTTTCACCCTGACATTAAGTAAAAATCAGAGATCATATTCCCTCCTGCTTCCCTCTGTTCCACATCATCTTTTTTGTGTGGACTTGCTGTATACAGCAAGACATCATCTATACAAAGATGACAATTCCCTTCCCCTCAAGTTTTACCCACATCCTGCAAGCAAGGCAGTAACTTCATTCCCTTACACCCCAACCAGTTACAGTATTGTACATGTTCATTGTACTCCCTTTACAGTGTTAGGAAACGACAAGATTGCCGTTTCCTTTTGTTCCTGCAAAAAACACGTGAGCACAGCACTGTCCTAAGGACATGAGGACATGCCACAGCAAGAGCTAGGATTTAAAGTGGGAAATAACTTTTTCAAGAGAAATCTAATGAGGATGATACAGCATTAATCTGGATTTCAATGTTTTATTATTGGGTCTTGAGAATAACTGGATTATTTGTTCCAATTTTCTACCTGTAATTTCACTTCACTTGAAATTAATCCTGTTCATGCTCACAATGCTTATTTCCAGAGGGCTTCCAACCTCCACACGCCCATCCCAGTCTTACAGCTTCCCCCACCCTCCAGCAAGGCACTTTCATAGCCCCACGGCTCCACTTCCCTAGAGCCTGCAGAGATCGGCCTCCCAGATTAGGAGGAAAGGAACAGAACCAAGAAATCGGCCACGTCTTCCTGTAGAGGCAGGACAAAACAGCAACCACAACACAGCACGCTTCCAGCCCACCACGCCTGTCTGGTGGAGGGAGATCTCTATCCTCCCCACATCAGACAGCCCTCTACCCACCCCAGAAACGTAAGGAAGGATTGCAATTCTCCCTCTGCTCCAGGCTCAGGGCACAGACAGCTCTGGCACCTCACCTTTAGGTTCAGAGCACGAATGCCCTGAACCTGGGCAGAGGAACCAACTGTGCCAGGACACAACAGCTAAGACAACCTAGACAAGCAATGAAGAAATATGCCCAGGGCTGGGGTAGAAATTCCTGACTTGTGTCCGGAAACCAAGATGTATCAGAGCAGGGTGCCAAGCTGAAGATCACCAAGGACATCCAAGCTTCAGCCTCCTCCCCAAGGCTCCCTTTACTCCAGTATCTACAACTAAGCCAGAAGCCTCTACCATCACTGCAAGTTGCACAGCAATTTTAGAACCCATTAAAAACCCTTCTACCTCCCAGACTTGCTCTTAGACCAGGTATATAGTTAAATCCTGCTGAGTATCACATAGCTGCTGCATCCCTGCTGTTGGCCCTCCTGCCAACAAAACTGCCTCCTTCCCGCCCAGACACTACCTTAGGACGGGTAATTCATGCTTCGCTGGGAGGATTCACTTTGTGTAGCGCCCAGTCTTGCTTCCTGAATCACCATGGGCTATCTGGTGGCTGCGGATAGCCTAGAGGGACAGGAGCAGGCCAGGGAACCGTTGGTGTGACCGTGCTCCCACCAGCGCAGCAATAACTGTCACTGGGCTGGTGGCTTCCGAGAGCCCGGTGGAACCTGGAAGGCAACTGACAGAATGTGGAAGTTGGGCTGCCCAGCATCTCCTCTCCCCAACTGTTACAGCCTTGCCAGGCAGAGCAGGAGGATTTTACCGGGACCTCAAGGACAGAGAGAGTTCAGAGCTTGACATTAGCTAAAGTCTGCTCGTTTCTCTGCTGCTGAGCTCCTCCTGCTCTAACATGGGGAGATACCGCACTGCACAGGCTCAGGGTGCTGTGCGGAGAAACTTCTCAGAACAGCAGCATCTCATCCTGTAAGCAGCATGATAGGAAAGGTCCACTAACCCAGAAAAGAGTTGGGGTTTAGCACCTTAACCAGTTCCACACCAAGGGAACAGATGCATGTTCAAGCATTTGTGGCTTTGGGATTTCTTCAGCTCTAGGCTGGAGTGGAGACTATGCTTTCTGCCTTGAATTTTCTCAGTATCATAATCGGTCAACTTGGTCTCTACTCTGGTAGTTTACAATGCCACTGAAATGCCTTGATAAAGTTATAGCCTTGCAAAACACTGCAGTCCATCTATTTCTTAAACATCTCACTCCGCAGTGAATGATTGCAGCAGTATTAGAAGGTACGCCTTAGAGTACCATTTGTTAATGTTCCACGAGCTTCGGATAAATTAATTTAGACACTGCAGACAAGCTAATCATTTCTTTGTTTAAGGAGTAAAGAAAAAGTTTCCACGCTGACTTACAAAGCGAGAAGTTAATTTCTATTTTGCTCGCCCAGGGAGGACCCCAATCACATCAATGCAAGAGAGAGCAGGTAAATCACCGTGTTGCCGCAGCTCCAACAATGCCTTCGGGGGTGTCCTCTGTTGTTGCACCTGGTGAATACCCATCTGATGAGCTTGTTCCAATTAACCATGCACACATATACACACACACCGGCCAAGGACACCCAACTTACAAAAGCATCTCAGCTGCCAGGGAGCTTCATGCATTTTCAGCACAGCATATGCTATAAACAAAAGCTTCTCAGGAGACTCTCGGCCACAGGCAAACCAAATCATCACATCTGCTTGGCAGGGAACAAGGAACCCGCAGTCTGAAAACCAGCGTTCATTATTTGGGGGTTTACAATCCAGTCAGGGAGGATCCGAGCCCTGAAAACTAACTGGGTCTCCAGTCAGCTAGCCTATGGAAACTCGCTCCAAAACATCTGCATGGTGTCCAGCCACAAATCTGAGTGGAAACTGGAGAGCTCAGGCAAAGAAACCTCAAATATGACACCCTTGTGCCAAGGTACCAAGACAGAAGCGCTATAAGGAAAGGAAACTGGATGGTGGTTGATGCTTCCCATCTCAGAAGGCAGAACCTGGGAGACAGATGTCGAAGTGAGACCCATCAAGTCTCTCATGCTTGGTCTGAGATGCGCTCACAGGGCTGCCACCTTGTGCTCCTTCCCAACAGCTCCAGCACCTTACAAGCAATGTTAGAGCTTCACCTGCTCAGCACAGAAGTGACTCCTGCCTGCTGCAGGCAAGTAGCACACCCGGAGCCAGGTCTCATGCTCAGAGGACTTGCCAGAGAAGCCTCAGGTGCTCAGCAAGGGAAACTGCTGGCTGCAAAGTATGTTCACAGCACTGCATTGTAGAACCGACATGAAACCCACACAAGGCTTGCAAGCACCTCTGCACCCCAGTGCTAAACCTGATGCTTGGTACTTCGATTTGCTCTCATCAACCTCAACAACCCTGCTCCCATGCTTGGCTGTGTTCCTGCTATTGAACTCACCATCTATTTTTCCAGCCCAAACCCTCCTGCCCTCCCAGATAGACAGAGGGGGCCAAAGCCATTCCTTAGTCCTGCTTGTCAGCAAGGACAAGGTCACTTCCACATCTCCTAGCACTGCTGCGTGGAGAAATCAAGTGAGAAAAAGCCTGATCTGCAGGCTAGCAGCTAGGATGCTTGAGAGCTAAGGAAAAGTCTTGGCTGGGGGGCTCTGCTTCCTGGATTACAAAGTCTTTTAGCTAAGGACTATTTAACATGCAATGCATAAGCAGTCTCCAGAGGGAAAAAAATATCAGAGACCAGGATCATCTTCAAAGCGAAGGAAAAAGGATTTGTTTCATGATGTGGGCTCACAGCTACTACAGACTCCTTGCTTCAAGCTAGGCAGAAGAGAAGGGTCTGCACAGGATCACTCTGCTGCCAGGTGAGTATTTTTGGCCATGGGCTACATTAGGGGTAAAGAGAAGCACCTCTTCACCTCTTCT